AAAGAATGCATTGTCAAAATTATAGAATGCTTAGACATCCAATAATGTTTCAAGATACACATAATTGCCTCTTTCAAGTAGAACCATAATTGATTGGTAGCATGAATTAGCCTTCAACTTAACAGAATAACTTCATGTAATATGTCAAAAAGAATACATACATACATACATATATATATATGTACATATATATATATTCAATTGCTTTGGATGCATCAAATGATACTGCTGACTAGGCACAGGTTTTATATTTCATTCAGGTCATAACAAGATTTTCTTTGCTACAAAAAGTTGCTCACTTTGGGCACTCTCACAAGTAGAACACAGGGAATAGATATCTTCAACAACTTTCAAGATAAATGTCATGAAATTGGACCAAATTTGAAAAATTTAGTGAGTGTACGTATAGACAGTGTACCTTCCAAGACAGGAAAACATGAAGGGCTTATTCTATAGATTTAAAAGGTATTTTTTTTATTTTTTTTTATTTATTTTTATTTATTTTTTTTTAGGGAGAGCCACAAAGTTGTAATTTTTTTTATTTTTATTTTTTATTTAAAAGGTATTAACAGATCCAGATGCTCTCATTTATTTTCATTGTATCTTGCATCAGTGAAATCTCTGTGCTAAAGCTACTACTTTAAATGACAGTCTGCAACAAGTTACAAGTATTGTTAACTATATTTGTGCAAATGCAACACAGCATCCTCAGTTTCATGCTGAAGTTGAAAGATGAGGTATGCAGTATTGGTTTGCCCTATCATTCTAATGTGTTGGCTGTGGCAAGGACAGGTGTTAGCCAAAATTTTATTTCTGTGAGAACAGGTAGTCATGTTTTATGAATAACAGAATCATCAATGTGAATTATTGAAAGAAAATTTCTTTAGAAATGAAGCATTTCTGTGTGATATCATGTCAAATCAAATGACTTGAATATTTCTTTGCAAGGTAAAACGAAGTCTGTATATGCTATGTTGCCAAACAATTGAAGCATTTAAAAAAAATCTATCTTTCTTCGAAACGCTTCTTCTTCAAAAGGAAATTTCAGGTGAACATTTTCCCAAGTTAGCAAAAATCATTGATGAGCAGGATGTTATATGTGAATCATTTGAAGAATAGCAGCTGTTATAAACCTATTAATTGGAGAACACAATGAACATTTCACTGACTTTGAGAATAATCACATCACACTCACCTTAGCATTTCAGCCTCACTTAGTTGTTATCACCAAGGCACCTAAGGAACTACTGACCAAACTGATTGAGCTCTCAGTAGATGACATTGTAAAGTCATTGTTTGATACTAAGAAAGACTCCATTGAAATATGGGGAAATGCAGTAGAATACCCATGCCTTTAGCAACGTGACTGAAAAATGCTTCCTTGCTTTCCAACCACTTACTGCTGTGAATGTACATTCTCCTGCCTAACTCAAATCAAGATGCCCTAAAGGTCACAAATGACTGATATCCATCTAGAGAACCAGCTGAAAATGTGGACCTCTATGCTGTAAATCAAACATTCAAATGCTTTCCAACACAAAGCAGACACACAAAGTCATTAAACGTTACTTATCTTAAAATTAACAAATAGTTTTCATTTTTGAAATTAAGTACATAGTAGTTAGATTTTACAAAATGATGTACATTTTTAAGTATATCTAACTGAACTTTTTTGAATGATAGCTATATTTGATTAAAACTAAATTAATGCAGATTTTTAACATGAAAAGTTTCCCCATTCCTGTTCTAGATCCAAGAACCAATATCTCAGTCTGAATTCCAAGACAAGACCAATGTCCCAGCTAAAGCAATCAGGCCGGAGGAGTTTCCTCACACTCAGCCTTTTTGATCTATTCAGGTCTTCAGTTGATTGGATGAGGACTACATGTATTAGGGAAGGCAATCTGCTTTACTCAGTATACCCATTCAAATGTTAATCTCATCTAGAAACATCCTTGCAGATGACATACCCAGAATAAAGTTTAGAAAAATGTATGGGCACCCCATGGCCCCATCAAGCTGACACATAAAATTAACCATCACAATAATATGATGGTGTTATTAAAAATTAGGAATAGGAGATTTTCATTGATTATCCTACAAATTTAAGACAAATATATGTGTATTTACTAATTTAATGAGGTAAAATTTGCATATAGTTAAATGTATAGATCTTGAGTTTACAGTTCAAGTGAAACCACCAACCCAATAAAGAAAAAGAACATTTCCATCATTCCAGAGAGCGTAGGCCCTCTTCCAGTCAATATCCACAATCCTAGGTAACTACTTTTCTCATATCTGTCATCATAGATGTGTTTTGCCTGTTCTTGAACTTCATGTAATGACTATGCAATATGTAATTTTGGCACTATTCCCATAATGTGAAACCCAGAATATTTCTCCTTCTCCCCTAATTTCAGTAACTTTACCTTTCCCCTCTTCATGATGTTTTAAATCCTTATGATTCTTAACACTATAAGGAGGGGATTGGTATATACCTACATAATGAGTGCGATGTGCACCATCTGGGGGATGGACACTTGAAGCTCTGACTCAGGGGGGGCGAAGCAAGGCAGCATACTTAACCTAAACATTTGTATCCCCATAATATGCTGAAATAAAAAAAAAAAGGAAAGTCACCTAAGTACGGACTTTTTTTTTTTTTTTTTTTGGAGACAGAGTCTCACTTTGTTGCCCAGGCTAGAGTGAGTGCCATGGCATCAGCTTAGCTCACAGCAACCTCAAACTCCTGGACTCAAGCAATTCTCCTGCCTCAGCCTCCCAAGTACCTGGGACTACAGGCATGTGCCACCATACTTGGCTAATTTTTTGTATATATATTTTTTAGTTGGTCAATTAATTTCTTTCTATTTTTAGTAGAAACGGGATCTCGCTCAGGCTGGTTTCAAACTCCTGACCTTGAGCAATACGCCCACCTCAGCCTCCCAGAGTGCTAGGATTACAGGCTTGAGCCACAATGGATTTTTAATCCCTTAAAAGTCAATCTCAGAGAAGCCCTCAACTCTACCACTTTTTAAAAAATGTATCTGCAGTCAAATGTCCATCCACTACTAGATCTATAATCACATTCACATTTTTAGCAATTAATGAAGAGGATCCTTCTTAAATCTTTCTTTCTATTCAGGTCCCACTTAAATTTCCATACCACCGAATTTCTTGACCGTATTAGAGTGCCACTCATGCTTCGGTGCTTCAGTTTCCTATACATTGCCATTAAATTTATTCCCATTGGATTTCTGCTCCTCTCCTTTCCCTGACATTTAAATCCCAAAGGTCAGACATTCAATGCCTAACATATGCCAAATCAAAGGTCAAATTTCTGTGTCATCAGATGCCATTATCAGCCACCAAGTGCTTCCCAATTTCAGTATTTCCATTTTCTATCCAGACATTAAATCTAGATCCCCAGAATTTTAGCCTTTCTTTTTATTTTTTTATTACACTTATAATCTTTGAGGATTGTCATTAAATAAGAGCTTTGAATAACTATTTTTATGCTGATCAGTGCTAAAATCTTAGCTCTAACAAGTTTTCTGAGAGCTATGTATTTCAACTGCCTACTTGACATTCTGCAACAGACTTTTCAAATACAAATGTACCCAAACTGAACTTCCCTTCCAAAGTCCACTCTATCTCCTGTAATTCCTTTTTCTGTAACTTCCATCCACCTAGTTATTCTTTATTTTAACTGATCACCATTTATGTGCACATGTAGTAGTAACATTCATCAGATGTCGGGCAGGTTGGGGGGGATTGGAATATTCACACCTAATGGGTGCTGTGCACACCATTTGGGGGATGAAGCTCTGACTTGGGTGGGGCAAAGACAGACTTGAAGCTCTGACTCTGGTGAGGCAAAGACGGAGCTTCAAGCTTGCAAATCAAACAGAAGGTGCGCACCACACCCATTAGGTGTGTCTATACCCATCCCCTTCTCACCTCTTCATCTGCCTAACACCCGATGAATGTTATTACTATATGTGTACTTAAGAGTTGACCACTTAATACCAATTTGTGTATAGCATGAAGTTCTACTCAATAATTTAAAATATTCAAAGGCAATTGCCTTTGCCCCACCAGAGTCAGAGTTTCAGGTATGTCCACTGCATTAAGTAAGTGTGTGTATACCCATCCTCTCCTCCAAATTAAGAAGGAATTTGTAACTGATTTACTAAAGTCATGCAAGGTTCAACTTATACAGTGTTTAACATGAAAAATTTCCAAATTTATATATTAGAATATTTAACAATAAAATCCTGACCTGGCTCTTTTAAAAAATTATAATATTTGATAAGAATGGCACAACATTCATATCAGTAGTTGACTGCTGGGGTTGTGATTTCTACCTGCAGATGCACCAGTTGCCTTTATCTTTTCTTAACTCGAGCAAGCTCATTTCCTCAAATTCTGTTTCATTAATTTATGTAATATATCTAGGTCATATAGACACATGTGAGACTCTTATCTAGAGAATATCCTTGATTTCACTGATATGAAAATTGAGATATTTTTATGAAATAGATATGAAAATAGATAAGAAAATTGAGATATAATTGAGTCTTAGAGATATTAATGATAATAATATTACTCTTATTGTAACTATATGTTATATAACTATATATAACTATACTTATGTAATAATAACTATATATTACTTAAAATAACTATATATATAACTATACTTATGTAATTTTACTATTGTAGGAACTATTCTAAAGAATCTATATATATCACCTAATTTAGTTCTCAAATTGACACTGTAAGGTAGTTACTTTACTATTGTTTTTATAAAGGTATTGTAATTTTCAGTCTAATAATTTTTAATGACATTCTAGATATAGTCTTCTGATCATTGATTTTGCTTCCAGGATAAAATTGGAATATCATGCCCAGCCACTTAAGCTGAGGTGGGAAAAGGACTAAACCTAAGTGTTAGGTTATTCAATAATGCAATTGATAAGAAAAATAAGAATCCTAGGAAAAGGCAAATATTTTAGTTTTTATTTGTCTGGAAAGTTCTTCCATCTTTTTTTTCTGATATTAGTACTTTCTTTTGTTGTTACAACAGGGATGTTCACATGACTTAGGCTTTTCAGACCCAGCAAATGGTCCATCTGTGATCACATGACAGGAGCCACAGTCTTTTACTGGGATTGATTTCTAGGTCCTGTTGGAAAGACGTTTTCTTCAGCTTCCTCCTAGGATGCTAAGTAGGCAAATATGAATTTGGTACTGGCAGTGTTCACTTTCCCCCAAAGTAGAGAAGGCCTGTCTGCAGCATGTAACTGAAGAACTACAAAGGAAAAAAAAGACAGGAAATGTTGAGGTGGAGTTCAGAGGTGGTGGTGGAATATCCAGCTATGGAAACCACTATTTCCCTTTAATTCTGCTTATGCTAGTTTATTTTATAATTTCGCCATTTGTCATTGCTATAATATCGATTAATACAGTAGGAAATCAGACAACCTGAAACTCTTGGGAAAACAGGTGGCAGTCCTAAAGTTAAACTGATATAAAGACAAAACATTTAATTACCAGCTAAATACAGAGTCCTAAGAAATCTAGTTCAGGAGATTCAGGACTGGGGCACACATCCAGGAGTTCAAAGTAGGGCCACACAAACCTTGAATTCTGAGTAGGATGGGTGGAAAGGGATACAGCCCCTACAGAATTAAACAATATATTCCTGTAGCTTGAAACCACAGTTAGCACTGCCTGAAGATATTAGTTTCCAGAAGGTAGAAGGGACACAGATTGTTAAAATCTGAGAAACAAGGCTGATTTCACATCCACCTAGCAATGCCATGGCGAATCAATCTTAAGAGAACAAGAGAGGATCTGGAATTGCACAAAACTATTACAATTCAATTAACTGTGAAGAAGAGGTAGCACTGCCAGTAAACACTTGTATGTATTTCTGGGGAATAGCTGAAACAGGTAGCAGTATGTTGTATATTACATATTATGCAGTAACAGTATATTATATATTAACATTAATGATTACACATTATTTAATAAATAAAAACAATGAGAACCGTCTTTGAGCTCCAGGCTGATTTAAAGAAAAAAAAAATTCATAAGTATTATGGAAATGAGTTGGAAAATAAACATTGAATGGACCTTAACTGATCTCATTATAGCAAATCTACTAATTGTGGACATGACATAAAAAGATTCCAGACCCACTTACCTCTTTTCATCTATTTTAACCCTTCCTACACATAGGTCTCCTATAACCTGGCTTTGCCTCTTAACTCCCATTTCTTACTTTGGCCCACTTGGATTTTATGATCAGTGTTTCCTTTGGTTACTTTTCCTATGGACAGTAAATGCCAACCCTCTACCATGCTCTTTCTATTGGGTCATTGACTCCTTACTAATTCAAGACAGAAAAGAGACTGAATAAATATGAATATAGATTTACAGAAAAATCCAAGCACAATACAAAAACTGGAACTGAAGATTAGCTAATAAGACAATTTTTACTCTTTCAGACAATAGCAAGAAAATCTGAGAAAGAAAAATCAAAACCACACAAATGAGATTATGCAGTAAAGACAGCCATAGAAACAATTCATGCTGACTTTTTGTTTTTAAAGAGGCAAAGTGAATAGAAATTCCAGCTGAGTATCGTTCATTTAAATTTAGCATTTTTAAGAATTAATAGAGACCATCAATTTACTCTTGCTAATGGCTCAAAATGCTTATATTGATGTTTTGAATTGTGTTCACTCTCATTCCTTTTTGGAGGTTATTGGGGAAAAACAAAGTGTCTACAAGCTTTTAATAGAACAAAGAGTGTATCTGTCAGCTATACCCACGAATTTAGGCATTGGTGCCTCTGATCATCAATTTACTTTAGCTTTGCTCCTGACTCACTAGAATGTTAAGTACTCAAGGGATTAAATTCCAGTCCCTTGGGGTTCTGTACACAAATAGGCTGATTTGGTCTTGTAATCAAATGAGATTTGTTTTACAAGAAGATGCGAGCACAATTACTGAAACCAAACACAAATAGAAAGAGGAGCAAGTTGCCAAACCAAAAAAAGTGTCAGTGTTTTAGAACAGGGAGATAAAGACTGTCTATAATAGGGCATCCACTGTGAAGGAGACAAATATCTGCCCAATTCCTGAAGAAAATCCTTTTTTAAAATACTAGTCATTTCATGAAGTGCAGTTATATAACCCTATTTGAATTCTCACCTCTTTTTATTCCCTACAAACATAGTTATAGATTAATTCCATGGTACAAAGTTCCCCAGAAGAGCTTATACATAAAATAAATAACAATACATACAAAAAGTTGTGGGACTATTGGAGAAATATAAACAACTCTTTTCTTTTCATCCTAATATATTTTCCAATATTTTGTATTTTTCTAATTTATGTTCACATCTAGAAACTGTTGGAGAGGAAAGTTCTAAGGTTTAAGGTTCTATTTAAGGTTCTATTTAATTTAAGGTTCTATTTAATTGCTTTACATACAGATCTCATGAGAAAGTTAGATAATTTAATGTTAATTTATTTTCTATTTATTTTATTTTTCTTTCTTTTATTCGGTTTCAAATGAGGCTTATATTTTCTATATTAACCTAGTGTGGTGTATATTGAAAGGTTTATAAAACAGTACAGAATTTTATAATAGCATGATATATAAATACTAAAATAATATGAATAGCAATAAAAAAGCCTAATATCATCAAAGAGATATTTCCAAAGTAAAAACTAAGAATACCTAGAACTAATTAATTCTTGATTTCTTCCTGAAATTCTTTTAGAAATTTTTAATGATTATTTTTACACTTTGAAAATGTACAAAAATCTGTTTTAGAGCTTCCTAAAAGGGAAAACTTTAAAGAATAACACTACTATTTTTTAAATCTCACCCAATGACTATGCAAGTACCTGTGAAATTTGGCTAGAAACTTTTCATTCTAGCTTATTTTAATCAGTTGTTCTCGTACAGTAATAAGCTTTAATATTTTTATGAAATATTTTCTTAAAACCCATTGAATATCTTCTTTTGGATGATTTTTAAACACGTTAAGAAATCCTAAATGCTAAGGTTTAAGTCTAAAATGTGTACATTTTTATAGGTGATATGTTTACATTTTTTCCAAGAACTTACAAAGTGACAGAAAATTTTTCAGACTTCTTTATTTAAAACTCTATATAACACAATTTTTTTTCCATCAAGCACTTACTTTTTCACTCACTGTTAAAACTTAACTTTTATTAATACTTCTCAGGAGCAGATTGTGCTCTGTGATTGATTTTTAGCAAATATTTTCTAGTTATTATACAACTAAATAAAACACTTTCCATTATAAAAAGTTCACCTGATATTAAACACTCTCATTTGTAAATTAGCAGCTTATCTTTAAACTAAAAAAAAAAAATCAGTTCATACTTTTTCTAAATATCTATACTGGCAGGGCATGCTTATGATCCCAGTACTTTGGGAGAAGGAGGTGGGAGGATTGCTTGAGCCTGGGAGTTTGGGGTCACAGTTATCAATGATCACACTACTGCACTCCAACCTGGGTTACAGAGCAAGATCCTGTCTCTGGAAAAAAAATAAAGAGAGAGAGAGAGAGAAAAGAAGAAAGAAAAGGAAAGAAAGAAAGAAAGAAAGAAAGAAAGAAAGAAAGAAAGAAAGAAAGAAAGAAAGAAAAAGAAAGAAAGAAAGAAAGAAAGAAAGAAAGAAAGAAAGAAAGAAAGAAAGAAAGAAAGGGAAGGAAGGAAGGAAGGAAGGAAGGAGGGAAGGAAAAGAAAGAACGTTTAAATTATCAGCAGACCTCTATGTGTTCAGATAACTGTCATGGTCTTGATCCATCCATCTATACCAATATTATTAAGTATTGGAATTTTTTATACTATTTGAGATTATGAAATCTATAACTCTATTTAATGAACAAAATCTGATTAAGACAAATCAACTCCTTTTGATTGTTGGATGCTCTCTCAGGCTACCTTGTTTATTACCTAAGCTTATACAGCCTGACTATCTGATAAATGGTCCAAGAAAAACACCAGTGTCAATCCTTGTGTTAAATATTTTAAGCAAAATCCATTTTTTCTTCTTTTTTTTTTTTTTGAAAAAATAAACCAAAATAATAGAGATTATTTTTAAATCTCAGTGGGTTTTCTTCTTTGGAGATCATTGTATCAAAAAAAAAAAAAACTTGATTAATGAAAAGGAGTGATGTACTACAGAAGAAAGAAGTTTAAGGAAATAGAGCCTGACCAGAGAAAGAGAGAAAGAAAAAATAAATCCTGGATATGGGTGATATTCTCTATTCAACATACAACTTCAGAATGAAAAATTGGTACATATATAATGGAAATGAGATTTACAATGAAAGAAGAATGCAGTGATAATCACAATTGAGTAAAAAGAAAAACTCAAAGTAAAACTATTTCAGCCTATCACTTTGATTAGATTTGATTGAGATGAGTACCTGTATATGCATATGCAAAATCCAGCACTCAATTTAATTTTATCCACAACAAGTTCTCTTTCACTTAGCATGATGTTTTGGAGATTCATCTGTAATGTTGTATGTATTAGTGTCATAAACCAATTTCCACAAAATTACTGGCTTAGTGTACATAAATTTATTATTTTATAGTTCTGGAAGTCAGAAGTCTAAAATAGTTTCAAACAGCTAATATCCAGGTATCAGTTAGGGCAGTCCCTTCTGGAGGTCCCAGGGAAGTATCCATTTCTTGCTGTCTTCAGATTCTAGATGGTGACAGCATCCCTTGGTTCCTGGTTGCATCATTCCAATGTTTGCTTCTGTTGTCACATCTTCCTTCATACCTTTTTCTTCTTTCTGATCCTCTGCCTTGCTTTCGTAAAGGCATCTGTGATTATACCAAGTCTACCTAGACAACTCAAGATAATGTCTCCATCTCAAGATATTTAATTTAATCACACCTACAAAGTCCCTTTTTCCAGATAAGGTAATAGTCACAGGTTCTGGGGATTAGAATGTGGACATCTTTGGAAAGAAGGGAGGATATTACTCGGCCTACCACATCAACATACATTAGTGGTGAATGCCTTTTCTTGTTTATCATTAGAGGGATTTACCTCAACTTGTTTATTCATTCACCTATAGATGGATGTTTACATTAGTTCTGGTTTGGTGTTATTATCAAAAAGCTATTGTGAACATTAGTGTGTAAATTATTGTTTGGACATACTATTTTCATTTTTCTTAGGAATTTACCTAGGAATGAGATTTCTAGATTGTAAGGTAAGTATATTTTAATTTATGCAACAGTCAAACTTTTCCAAATTGTCTGTAGCATTTTTTATTTCCCACAACAATGCAGAAGAGTTTTACTTGCTCAGCATCCTCACCAGCAATTCAAATTCTCACATATTTTTTTCTGTCATTTATTTGTTTATTTTCCTTTCTGATAGGTGTATGGAGGTATCTCTTGGTGTTTTTCATTGCATTTCTCTAACGGAGCTATCTGCACTTCATCATGCAAGGTGATATGCAAAGGAAGCTTGTCTCTAGAAAGCAGAATCAATAAAGATAAGAAGTAGAAATGTAGAGAGAATAATCTCTTAGTTTCCTCTGGGTATACCCACAGAGATACATGCTCTAGGTTTTGGGGCCTGTCAATTTACTGCCCTTGATTTTGTGAAATTTCTAGCTTCAATCCTTATAACAAACACTATTTTATTTGTGTAAACTGGTTTAGAGAGGTTAGTGGATTTACCCAAAGATACACCTATGTCTTTGTAATGCCAAAAACTATTCTTTTTCAACTTCACTAAGCCACCTCTGAATAACTTTTCTGAAAAAATACTTATTTTGTCCTCCTTCATCTAATATCTCTATTTAATAAATTGCATTAACTCATAATCATTTTTTATAAATATAATATTCTTCTGCTAGGAAAAGTAACATTTGGTCAAAAGAACAGGTGTTTAGAGAGCAAGAAAAAGTGGTATACAAATACCAAAGATGTCCAAAAAGAGGAGATGAGATGGTGAGAGAGTTGGGGAGTATATATTTATAAAAATATGGGACTGGATATTTTGATAGCAAGGTAATTTTATATATGATAAAATCATATCATAGATAAATTAGTGTTTATATATCAAAGCTACATCAACCAGGAGATAGATATAAACACAGGAGGTACAGAAGTATAGAGACAGAAGATATAGATTAAAATTTCAGATTTACCTACCACTTGCTATGTGCTTCTTTCTTAATCTCTTGATGCTTCAGTTTCCCTAGTAATAAAATGGAGATCATAACACAACTTGCTTCTTAGAGTTGCTTTCAGGATTAAATTAGTTAAAATCTACAAAGAGTTTAGAATAGTAATTACCATATACTAAATATCTTATGTACATTAAATCAATAAAAATTCGTATAGGTAAACTTAACTGCTAATTACGTGAGGTAGGAAAAATTTTGAGGTTAAGGACTCTATCTTATTCAGTAACTAAAACAGACTAAGCAAAGAATAACTATTTGTTGATGGTAGAACTTTTTCAATAATTTTTCTTTTAAAGAAGCAAAGTTGATAATTTCCACTGATTTATTTTTCTGAAAGTATCACCTTTAAAAATTATTACTTGGAGATATTTGGCATTGATCATTCAAATGAATATCTTTGTTATGAATATTAATAAGATATTCTATTTCCTAAGTTTCACCAATAAAATATAATTCTATATTATCTGGTCATGTAGAATGTAACAAGTCATATATTATAAGAACTTTATTAATAACATCTATAAAAATAAATTATTTCATAATCCAATATACTGAATATTTCCCCAAGTGGAAGTTAGAAAGAAATTGGGAACATCTATTAATGCTTTCAAGCAAAAGCTAATGGATTAAGGTAAAATACATTGGAATAATGCTTTGTTGAATATATGATTTTGAACTAAATTTTGTTGCTTTTAATTTATTTAACTTTATAGTTTTCTGTGATTTCTTATTTTCAATGAACATGATAATTTTACAATAAAAATATGCATACAAAATATGTACCTATGTACACATACACACACACACACACACACACACTAGCTGGGCTGCTATTGCTCTGAAAAAAATCATTAACCATCATTACATTAACATTCTCTAAGCTATTTGCTCTACAACGTGCTACTGAGACTTGCTCCTATTACAATCAGTCAGGTTGAATATCAGCACCTGCATATTTGAGCATTTTTGCTTTTGTGACTTTCATTTTGGGGGCTCATATTTCAAACCACTATTTGTTTTTGCTGTACATAATTATTTTTTTTATTTTTAAGTGAGGTATGGTTCACCATAAGTGAACACTTCAATGAATTTATATGTATTTATTTATATCCACTTTTATTTATATGCTCTTGTTAACTACTCACCACATTTTAGAACATTTCTAGCTTCCTAGAAAGCTTCCAGTCAATAATGCCACATCACTCCTGAGATAATGGTGGTGACATTTTAATACATATTGTCTCTATGAGTATCAAATACTTCTTATAGCACCTTTTGTTTAGCTGCTCAAGTGAATGACTGCCTTTTGGAGTGTGGCCAGACTTTACCCTTCAAGTGAATTTTTTATACTTCATATAGTACATATTTAATTCACACCATTCCAAATATATTCACTAATTTGGTAGAATTTAAGTTCATTTTTCAATTCACATGGGATATAACTGTCTCTCTTGTAAGTGTGTCCCTTACCCCCCCAAAACGAAATTGGGGGATGCTCATAGCCAGGTTTGAAACTAGCCCATCTCAAACAGGCTCTCCAAACTTGGTAACAATATATCTAGCTGATATCTGATGGGGTGATAAAAAATAAGCAGGGAGAAATTTGCAGACATGATTTATATTATTTGTATACTATTTGTAAAACAGTCAATGTGCAAAAGATAATTTCTAATAGAAAGTCAAAGATGGTGGTGATGAGATAATAAAAGGATTTAAAATAGAAATGGAAAAGCTAAGGTATAAGTTAATAATGATTTCATAAATATAAAACATTATCAGGAGAAGATGAAGAAAGATTGTTTTTCATTCACCTTTACTGAGACCAGAAGCAAAACAATAATAACTAATAATCGAAAGTAAAACATAAGCATTTTAGGTTAGAAATAGCTAAACATTCCTCACAATGAGAATTGTTAAATACACAGAACCTCTCTCCAGAGGTCTATAAAAGTAGAAAATATACCAATCTGTCAAAGATGATTTAGTTGCAGTACTTTCCAGAAACTGAATAATGACATTTAGAGATCCCTTTTATCTCTGAAATATTTCAGTTCTTTTATAATAATATGTATTAAAATATAATATATATATATTTAAAAACTATATCTTCAACATATTAAAGTTAAAAACCAACTTATATAGTATTTTGTGCTAGTATCCAATTCATAGAATTTTTATATGCAACATATTTACAGTGAGTCACAATAGGAAAGATCAAAGATTTAGATTTTGGAAAACAAGAGCAATTCCTTTATTTGGCATAAATTTAAAGCCAGGTTATTCTTCAAAGAGCCATATGTATCATATTTAAATGTTTTTTTTTGTTTGTTTTTTAGTCCCATTACATTTTGTTTTGTTCATGTGTTTGTTTTTAGTGACAGGGTCTTTCTCTGTCACCCAGGCTAGAATGCAGTGGCCCAGTCAAGGCTCACTGCAGCCTCAAACTCCTGAGCTCAAGGGATCCTCCTACCTCAGCTGGGACTACAGGCATAGGTTCAGCTAGGGTTTTTATTTTTTATTTTTATTTTTTGCAGAGATGGGATCTCACTTTGTTGCCAAGGCTAGTCTCAAACTCCTAGCCTCAAGCAGTCCTCCTGGCCCAGTCTCCCAACATGCTGCGATTACAGCATGAGCCACCATGCCCCACCCTGTACTATTAAATTTAAGTGAAAATGAACATGATATTCTTTATAGAGGTGGATACATTACTGTTGTTTTGTCCTACAAAGAAGTTTTACACAAAATACTTTAATAGTCAGTTATAATTAGAGATTATAATCACTGATTATGTAATTTTCCCACAATTTTTATAGATGGGTCAACATGTTCACAGAATATTCTAAGAGGTTTTGTTTTTTCCAACCTGAATTACAGTCATACAATTCAAAAATACAAAACAATATATTGTTCCTCAGATATTCTTTGGCAGTAAAATAACTATTAAGATTAACTGCTTTTTTAAATTTATATTTCAGAAATTTTGTTTCTGTGCACAGGTTCTCTGGATTATTCAATAAAAAAGAGAGGGAGTGATAAAAACATTTCCAACAACTGAATTTCTGAATAAAATAATAGTATACATAATAAGATAGTAATAAAGGAAAAAAACAAAGATTTTGATATATATTATTAATTACTGTACTACAGCATATAGAAGCATTTAGTGGATTCTTGGTATATTATAGATTCTCAGTAGTTATTAAAATATAATAAGGAGAAGAATTGATCCAGGTATTTTCATTTACAAACTCTGTCAGAGGAAAATATTTCATATATCTGATAAGAAAGCACTTCAAAGAAAGACACATCTTTGGAAAGCTGACTGGGAAAAGAAAAAGAAAAAGAAACAGATAAGAAGAGCCAGAAAATACAAAGCAGAGAACCTAGCTTGATGTCACACTAGTAGCTAATTACTGATCTAGTAATAGATAGAATACTATAATGTCACTAGAAATTTGTAATTGTTTGGAGATTCCTGAGTTATGTATTTTGCATTTATGTAAGATAAAATAGTTATTATGATACAAAATTAGTAATAATTGCAATAATTATCTTGATTATAATAATAAGTTAGAAAATTGCTTTACAGAAACAGATTATGAGGAAAGAAAATGAGTGAATGAAAGTTTGTAAGGCAGATACATGCAGACAATTTCTGCTAAAAATTTCAATAAAACTTACATAAGTGCATTCTTATGCAAAGAGACATTATGTAGCTGCTGTCACCAGACCTGAGTAAATCAATAAAGCATCCTGAACCCAAGAGATAAAAAATAATTGGGGACTGTGTATAAAGAATCGCTATGGCTGGGCACAGTGGCATAGTCCTAGCTACTCGGGAGGCTGAGAGGAGAGCATCACTTGAGCCTAGGAGCTCAAGGCTGCAGTGAGTTATGATCATGCCACTACTCTCCAGGCTGGGTGACAAAGTGCAACCCTGTCTCTAACAAAAAAAAAAAGAAGAAGAAGAAGAATTGGTGGTATGGCAGAACCTGGAAAATATCAACAAGGAGTAAGCCAAATGTTCAGACCACATATACAAAAGAGAAATGATCACCTTACAGGTACTCCTACATACAGTAAAATCTATAAATAAGGTAATTTTCTAGAGGCATCCTATCAAAAACACGAGTAAAGTTATGTCTAATAGATGGGCCTTCTGGTAAACTCACAAACCCATGAAAATGCTAGACCGAATGTGTTTGTAAGAACTCTAGACTGAATGTGTTTGTAATGAAATTAAGGCTGAGATTTATATAATAGACCTTTAAAAATTCAAACTCTGTCCATTTTTATTGTCCTTGGGATTTTAAAAAATAACAGTTTCATAATTTAAAAATAAGTATCAGCACAGGAATACTTATATAATAAATTTTTATTATGATGTTTCAATAGGAAAGAAAAATAGAACTGCAGGATCCTCTAGAGGTCTTTATCACTCTATGAGGTAAAATTGTAGGTATGTAGCAAAGTTTGATAACCACAGGGTTTTGATGTACTATCAATAAATAGTATGCTTTTCCTGGATTGATTTCTTTAGTTCTTTTTATCTACAAAATATATCCAACAATCAGTGGTTCAGTTCAACACCATAAAATCCTAGAACTAAATGTTTTTCACTAAACATTCTGGATTCAGTCAGTGGAGAGTCATAGAAAATTATTACAATGGATCTTCAGAGAAGATTGACTTACTTTCAAAATTAGCATCATTTAAATGGGATATAATATTTCAGATACTCAAGGAAGATGATAAAAAGAACCCAAAGGCAAAGGTGTTTGTTTGGTTTTTGGTGTTTGTTTGTTTGTTTGTTTGTTTGTTTGTTTGTTTGTTTGAGACAGAGTCTTACTCTGTTGCTCAAGCTAGAGTGCCATGGCATCAGCCTAACTCACAGCAACCTCAAACTCCTGGGCTCAAGCAGTCCTTCTGCCTCAGCCTTCCAAGTAGCTGGGAGTACAGGCATATGCCACTATGTCCAGCTAATTTGTTCTACATATTTTTAGTTATCCGG